CTAAAGAATAAAACCAGTATACTACACTTTGATTCGGATAAATAACACAAAATGACCAATGATAACTGCAATACATAAACATTTTAATGGTCATTAAATAATGCGATATATATACCATACACACATGCAAGAATAAAAATACCTGCCCATCAATAATTGGCCCAAGTGGCATTTTAACAGTAATGCCTTCTTTCATATTTTTATAAATTTCACGCAATTATACTAGACAGGGAATTTAACAGCATTTTAGGTGCCTATTAAAACATAAACCAAATATGATTAAGTAATTAATTAATTCAAAGAAATAATTATAATATTAACTTGTTCTTTATCTCTGGCAATGATGTATTGATCTTTGACACCAAATTTTTTGGCCATAGAATGAAAGAACCTTTTGCTTGACCTACAATTGTAATCTCAGAAGTGGGAAATGGCATGGGTGTGTTATTTTCACCCTTTTGATCACGTGTAATTGTCACCCTAACTTGGTCCTCTTTAATCTTCTGATGAGGAAATGTCGACTCAAGCTTTATACTTGACCTTCGGCAACAAACACACTTTTTTGGAATTTCCAGATAAAGATTGCAAGAAGTTCCTTCATTGTCATTTGGTACGTGGGGATCAATATTAACTAGTGCCATTGTCCCTGGTAGATTATTGCTACCTTTCGTGCTTGGTATCGTAGGGGAAGCCTGTATATAAATCTATGTTAAATTAAATTAAACACAAATATGTGTTATATTACTTTAAACACAAATCTATGTTAAAATTAAATTATGTACTACAAACCTAGGGTATATGATCAACTCCTAAAACTGTCATGCTAAAGACCATAGATTTCATTTCTTCACAAAGTTTGCCATCATGTCTTCCTGAAATGATTCATAAAACTCTCACGCGACCTCTTATCGAACCTCAGCTTGAATCTCTTGTCAAACCTCGGCTTGAGTATCCTCCCTAACCTTGGCCACTAACTGATGGATCTCATCTCTAGACATACCTCTAGGAGAACTTCATGGAGTTGGTCCAAAGTATTGTCTGTTACCAACTCCTCTATCAATCCCTCTAACTCGACCGGGATGTTTTAGCTTTCCAATTGCACTTGATAAAATATCCATCCTTCCATTTGGAGTGAAGGAACCTTGAGAAACTTGCTCCTCTAGTGAATCTTACAACATATCAGCCAAGTAATTACTTAAGTTGCAGCAACTATTAATTATAAAAATTAAATTATTAAACTATTTACAATCTTTTCAACAACTGTAATAGCCTCTGAAGTGATATACTCCCCTTTCTTAATCCTCCCAGGCTTCCATTTTGTTTGACAAGTTGGACGTGGTGGGGGCTGAATAACAATGGTGGGATCTAATTTTACTGCTTCCTCTATTTTCTTCAGATCTTCCTCAATTAGCTTCTGCTCAACTTTCCTATATCCCACACAAGACATGTAATGAGGATATAGATTTTGTGATTGTATCAATTTATTTACGGCACTTAATTTCTATACAAAATAAAAAAAAGTTAAATTAATAACGTCATATAAAACATTATATACAAATTAAGTGACAACTTATTATCTGAAATTCAGGGTCATTTTGAGATGCCCACAAATTGTTTCCAAGTGTCTTGATTAAGAAAATTGTACTCTTAACATGGATCCCAACTTGCCTTCTTCCTATTTGCATGAATGTACTCTCTAGTCAGTGTTAACTTGAAATCCTTCCACTACTCAACAACATTCTTTAACCAATGCTTTTTCATCTCACGGGTAGCATCAAATTCTTTCCACCTGTTAGTAGACCTGGTCCCCATTCAATGCCTTGGGAGCAAATTCATACTCTTGTGAACCATTAAAAGCCTTTTTCAACCTACGATAAGGATGATACCGATCAAGAAATCTCCTATAACCAAGATAGACTATTTTCTTTCCATACTTTAGATGTTGAGAGTGCGTGCCTTCTTCACAAATAGGACCTGCTTTATGCCCTTTAACACTATATTCAGACAATTTTTTATACGCAAGAAAGTCATTTATCATGCAAAAAATCATGGCATGTAGTTTAAAGAATTGTTATTGGTAAGCATCAAACACATCAATGCCTTCCTCCCACATCATTTTTAAGTCTTCAATCAAGGGTGCCAAGTACACATTGATATCGTTTTCAAGTTGTTTTGGTCCTGAAATCATCATGGTCAACATGATATATACTTGCATTTCATACACGACCATGGAGGTAGATTGTAAATTACCAGGAGAATTGGCCATGCACTATGTGTGCTACTGAGATTACTGAAAGGATTAATTCCATCCGTACAGAGTCCAAGTCGAAGGTTTCTTGACTTACTACCAAAATCTAGAAACTTCTGATCTATCTTATTCCATTGAGGAGAATCAGCCGAATGTCAAAGTTTACCATCAGATATTCTCTCATCAAAATGCCATTTTAAGTTCTTTGCTTATGTGGAATTAGAAACAAATGCTCAAATCGTGGTATTATAGGAAGATACCACATCACCTTCGAAGGTGAGCCTTTAGTGATATCGTTGGCATCACCACACGCGTCCTTCTTTACTTTATATCATGACGCCCTACATTTTGGACATTTATGTAGCTCTTCATATTCCTTTCTATACAACACATAGTCATTAGGGTAAGCATGTATTTTTTTATATTGCATACCCATCAGACACAAGATTTTTTTAGCCTTATAGTGACAATTGGGAAGAGTATTACCGTCGAGAAACATATCTACTAAACATTCAAGCAACCAAGTAAACTTGTATCCGTCCACCCACATCTTGCCTTCAAGTTAACCAATCTTAATACACCTGTCAACCGTGTATACTTTTTACATCCTAGGTATAATGGCTTCTCTGCATCACTTTGTAAGCTCTCATATGTATGTACTTGCACAAAGGACTCCATTCCAATATCACGGATCATATCCTCTATTCTATCATCCCAAGCATCTACATCTATTCTTTCTCTTGTGATATTGAACTCATCCCTTCAGTTTGACCATGCCATATCCATTTTCTGTACCTCAAATTTATCCCATCACAAAGCAAATGTTCTTTTATCTCATTAATACTCAATCGACTCCCATTTAAAACATTTGATGCATAGACAAAAATATAGTTCATTTTTATTTGAAACATTCCATTTAGCAAAGTCAAGAAAATATTCCACCCCATTCTCATATTCTTTACTCGTTCTTCTGGCATTCATCCAACTATGGTTCATTGTTTAACTACCTACTTAATTAACATAAAATTTAACTGTTGACTCAAGTATTATAAGTAATTCTAAGCAATTTATAAATTTATAACAATTCCAAAGAAATAAAAAAAAATAAAGTATATTAAAATTTTTTAGTTGAATTATATTCTTTTGAATTTGGAAAAAATTAACAAATTATATATGATCTCAAAATTTCAACATTCACTAAACAAAATTAACTCAACAAATAATCATATTCAATTTTCTATTTTTAATAATTACATTTTTTTTCAAAATCTCCTCTGAAATTATGACATTCCAAAATATCAACAATAAAAAATTAATTAATATTAGACAGTAAAAATTATAGCATTTGACAATAATAAAATTTCTATTCATAACCATTTAAATGAAAAAAAAATTATGCAACAAATGACAATTGAAATGTAAAACAACTTCTAATCTGTTATAAATTTAAAAAAATAAATAAATAACTTACTTGGAACAAGGAAGAGGTAAATCTGAAATGCAACACCAACGACAAAGAGGGAAGAAATCTGCCACTGCATTGTTGAAAGGAAGATGAAATTGTTACAAAAAACCATCAAGAATCAACTGAGGAGGAAGAAGGAACAAGAAAAAAGTGAAAAAAATCAGCATACCCACCAATAGAGAAGCGATGATGTGGCAACAGAGCAGAGAGGAGGACGGCATTGCAACAGTGATGGCGAAGGGCTTCCGTGGATGGGACTACGACGGTGATGTGCAGCAATAGAGCAGGGGCGAATAGACGATGCGGCTGTGGGTTTAGAGTTGTGTGACTGAGTTTGAAATTTTGGATGCAGGAATCTGAAACTGACTGACAGGGAAAGGGATAGATAAATAAACGTTTTAATGTTGGTTCCTTAAGGAACCAACGTTAATAATGTTTCCACGTTAGTTCCTTAGGGAACGGACATGGAAACATGCATTTTTATTTTTTTTATTTTTGGCAAATGATTTCATATCGGTTCCTGTAGGAACCGACGTGAATAATTTTTCCAGGTCGGTTGTCCTAACAACCGATGTGGAAAATTTAAAAAAATAAAATAATTTTTTTAAATAAAATATACAATGTCAATTAACATTATAACCAATGTGGTATACTTTTTAACATCGGTTTTAAGTATAACTGACATTAAATAATTAATACTTATTTACACTTATGCCACCGTTTTTTTTTTTTTACAATAGTTGTTACAACCGATGGCTAAAGGAGCTGTTAATAGCTATTTCTGTAATAGTGGGTTTGTATTGGTTAGCATGAGGCATGAGAATGGGAAAACTAAATTTAAAAATGAAATTTGGAAAAAATAAAAAAGAAAGAAAAATAGGAGCTGAAAGCAGAAAAAGTTCACGGGCAATGGAGGTTAGGGAGTTCTATTATTATTATTATTAAACAAATTATGTTTTTACTTATTTTAAAATAGAAAAAATTATATATAGGTCCTATGAAGCATGCTTATATTTATAAATAAGGCTCACAAAATTCAAAAACGATTTAAGTATAATTTGAAATCAGGTAAAAAGATAACAATGTCCCTATTAAAAATACATTACAACAACCAAATAATTCATAATTATTACATTAATAATTTACAATTATCACTTTAACTTTTTACAATTGTAACTTTATATATCCAATAGTTAAATTGATTATGCGTTACAAGTTTAATATTAATTATGTACAATTAGCTCATCAATAATTTAAAATATCATATCAATATTTTACAATTATAACTTCATATATAATAGTTAAACTGATCATATATTACTAATAAAGTTTAACATTAATTATTTACAACTATTTTGTCAATAATTTACAATTATCACTTCAATATTTTATAACCATAACTTTATAAATCTAATATTTAAACCTAATAAGTAAGGGCATTATTATTATTATATCTTAATTTTAAATTACATTCAAGCCCTAATGAACTTGGTCGTGGTTTTCAAACTTTGCGGATCTTATATATAAATAAATCTAGGGCCTATATATAATGTTCCCTTTAAAATATGTCTACCAAGTATTCAATTTGCGTGTGAATGCGTTGAAGAACAAGAACGAATCATCCAACAAAAAACTATAAAATAAGGAGCGGAAAAACGATGGAATGACGTGTTTCTGTTTACTATCAGAAAATTTTCCATGTAAAAAAATGCATCGAAAGTTGTCAAGAGTTATTATTGAAAATTGACTTTAAATAATAAATAACAATGAAATTAATTTAAAAATAAGGCGCATAAAGAAAAGAAACAAAAGTTAAATACGAAGAAAAGTATAATTTTATAAACATAAAAAAATAAATTTTAAGTAGTGGTAGTGAAACTAAAATTAAAAATCTGTTTGAGATAGGCTTGTTGATGTAAAACAGGAAAGAGAGGGGAAGAGAGAAGGAATGAGGCCAAATAAATAGAAATTTTTATTATTTAATACTCAAAATTGAATATGAATGAGGAACACTAGAGCTATTTAAAGGCCCCTAGATAGAAAAAATCAAATAATGATAAATCTAAATTTAAATAAAATAATAGAAATAATAATCTAAAAGATGAGGATAAGGTATCTAACTAGTCCAGATATTTTATTTTATTTGAGATAATACTTAAAGATAAAAATAAATCAAAGATACTAAATCAAATAATATTAAACCCTAGATAATAAATCAAATCCAATAAACCTTAAATAATCTATGGGATATATAATATCCTTATTCAAACAATTCCAAATAAAAGTAATGAAATCTCATTTATATTCCATCATTTCTCACCTGCTTGAAGAACTCTCCTTTGGAGAGTTAAATTGGAGGAACAACTTTGGGATGGGATGAAATTTCAACCCAAATAGTGTATTAATCTAGAGCTTGTGTAGCTTGTAAGGCATGTGGTGCAAGGAGCCCACATGCTGATAGGAACTTCATATGTGTGTTGTATGTATTGCAATTGAATTCCATATGTAGAAAGAGATAGTGGCACATGAGGGCACGTTAGGTGGGAGTCGATGATGAAACTCGATGATTAGGCAAATTGTGGAGTTGAAAGTAATGGCAATGGTGCAGCGGCTAATGTCAGGATAGTTGTAAACAAATTATGGTGATGATGTACATGGTTTTTTTTTAAAGCCTTTTTTGGTTTTGGGATTTTAATGGATCTCAAATGAGTTGAGCACAAGGAAAGAGGTAGAACCTGGCTCCAATACCAAATTGATGTAAAATAAGAAAGAGAAGATAGGAAGAGAAAAGGGATGTTGCCAGGAAAATAGCAATTCTTATTATTCAATACTCAAAACTGATTACAAATGAGGAACCCTAGGGCTATTTATAGGGCCCTCAAACAATGATAAATCTTAATCTAAATAAAACCATAGAATAATAATCTAAAAGATAACGATAAGTTATCTAGCTAGTATAGATATTTTATTTTATATGAGATAATACTTAAAGATAGAAATAAATCATAGATACTAAATCAAATAATATTAAATCCTAGATACTAAATCAAATCTAAGAAACATTAAATAGTCTAATGGATATGCGATATCTTATTCAAACAATACTAATAAAATGATTCTAAATAAAAGTAATTAAATCTCATCCACATTTCATCATTTCTCACTTGCTTAAGAACTCTCCTCTGGAGAGTTAAATTGGAGGAACAACTTTAGGATGGGATGAAATTTCAAAACAAATAGTGTATTAATCTGGAGCTTTTGGAGCTCGTAAGGCATGTGGTGCATGGAGTGCACATGCCAATGGGAACTTCATATGTGTGTTGTATGCATTGCACTTGAATTTCACATCTAGAAAGAGATAGTGGCAGGTAAGGGCATGTTAGGTGGGAGTCGATGATGAAACTTGATGATTTAGGCAAATTGTGGAGTTTAAGTAATGGTGATGGTGTAGTTGCTAACGTCTGGATAGTTGTAAATAGATTATGATGATGATGTACACGGTTTTCTTCTAAAGACTTGTTTGGTTTTGGGACTTCAATAGATCTTAAATGAGTTGAGCGTAGAGGAAGTGAAACCTAGCTCTAATACCAAATTGATGTAAAACATGAAAGAGGCAGGGGGAAGTGAAAAGGGATGAGGCAAAAAAAAAAAAAGGAATTCTTATTATTCAATGCTCAAAACTGAATATAAATGGGGAACCCTAAGGGTATTTATAGACCCCTAGAAAGAATCAAATAATAATAAATATAAATCTAAATAAAATCATAGAAATAATAATCTAAAAGATGGCAATAAGGTATCCAGCTAGTCCAGGATATTTTATTTTATTTGAGATAATGCTTAAAGATAAAAATAAATCATAGGTACTAAATCGAATAATTTTAAACCTTAGATACTAAATCAAATCTAATAAACCTTAAATAATCAAATGGATATACAATATCCTTATTCAAACAATACTAATATAATGATTCTAAATAAAAGTAATTAAATCTCATCCATATTCCATCACTTGTCTAGAATAGGAGCATACATAAAAATTTAATATTTTATAAAAAATAAAATTAATAATAATTGTAATATATATATATTGTCCCAACAAAAATTAATAATATAATTCCAAAATCTATTTATATTATAATGGGATGAGGGCATAGTTTATGGGCCTCACAAAAGTAGCTCTTATTTCATAAAATTATGGGGAAATGGGGGATGTGGATCATGGGGTCTATTGAAATATTTTAACTCTGCCAGGTCCTTTTGTGTCAATATATCTGAAAAATGTCCTTTAAGTTATTTGATGATATTTGTTATCCTTTAAAATTCCATGTTATTTCATCATATTTTTTGATTCTAATTTATTTTGGCTCAATTGTATATTTTTTGATAGCTTAAATTAGAAAAATGCGCATCTTGCTTTGGGTTTGTACACTTGGTTTTTAATTCGATACTTTTAGACTAATTTTGTGTTATTTTGGTTTAAGGTTTGGTTAGATGCTTTTCTAGACCTTTGAGGGTATTTTTGGATGGCTTTTAGATGATAAAATAAGATGGCAAAAAAATGAGCTATCACACAAAACGAGAGAATAGTGCAAAACTTCTAAAGTCATCATCAAAATCGCAACTTTGTTTGAAACTTTTGCCACTATCAACAACTGGATTTTGCTTGATTGAAAATGAATAGATAGGATACATATATGTGGCTTGCTCAACCCAGAATGCATTCTACCTAGAATGTTAAGGTTTAGGCATTGGAAGAGTTGGGATGCAACCCTCCCTTGTATCTACTTGATATAGGAGAAGATTAACAGAATTACCACTTAAACACACTAATTAGTAATCAAAAATTTATTTGAAAAGCTTTGACTAAAGACTTGTTTCGTAAAATCATCAAAACCATAATACATTTGAGTAACACATAGTAGAAGCCATTCATATGTATTTACAACATTCATTGCATGCCATAAAAACTATAAAATAAGGTTGAATTATGGGTCATGTGTCATGACGTGCAATACATGCACCGCCGCATGTGGCATAGAGCCGCACACCTAACTTTTTATGTTATGCACCATGGCATGTGACACCATGTGCCGTAGTGCACCTGTCTAAAATTTCTACTATTAATTTTACGGTAAAATGATGAACTTCCGACATTTGTTATTTTCACATACGACGTCTGATTGGAGTGATTCAAGCGCCCATATAAAGCTTAGCTCATAAGTTAGTTAATGAAATAGGTTGGACATGATCTAACATTCTAATCAAAATTTTGACACTTAGGTGCAAAAAGTCACCTTTTTAAAAAATTTT